AGATGCACTCTCTTTCCCTTTATTCCAAATTCCAAAAACCCTAGTTAAACTCCACACAGATTCGGAAGATAATTATATATATTTTTTGGACAATACGAATTTAGATGATTGACTTCTTTTATTTATTTATTTATTTATTTTTACTTTTTGTCTGTTGTCTTATTATAGGGTCCGTAATATTTTTTTTGAGAAAATATAGGAGTGGACCTATATATGTTTATTTGGGCTAAAATGGGCCGAAAAGACCGAAATTGGCCCAGCACCACGATCTTCAACCTAATTCTAAAACCCTCGTCTTTTCTTCCACTCTGCGACTGGTATCAGTGAATTGATTTCAACGAGATTGAAGCTCAGGAATTGAATTTTTTTGCTTCCAGTAAGTGCACAGATCTTTTCCTTTAAATGGGCATGAAAGTTCAGTTTTTTTTTTCTTTGGTTTAATTGCAATTTTACATGAAAAGGGGGAAATTCATGTTTCTTAATTTTAACTGGTTGCCAATAAATTTGATAACTTTTAAATTTTCTTTTACTCTTAGACTTTTTTTTTTGTCAAATTTCGTTTTCTGTGGGTTTAAATTTAAAAATGAGTTTCAATTTTCTTAACGTAGCCTAGCCTTGCCTACCAAGTGTTTGATGAAATGTGTGTGTTGGTTATGAGGTTGCAAATCGGGAGAAGATGAAGAAAGGAGTACATCCACAGAAGCAATGGATAACTTACGTTACACAAACGGGAAGGTTGATGCATGTGATGATGACAAAGATACACCCTGTTGGGAAAGTCTACCACTTCCGGGCTAAGCGTCAAATGGCGGAGAGTTTAGGACAGATTGCTAAGTTCAGACGCCGCTTTGGGCTAGAAAATCCAGGTGGCAATGAAAAATAACTTGTTCAATGAGCAGAGGGAACTTTGGCTTTTATTTCGTTCAAGTGGATGGAAATAACAGGGAAATTGGTGATACTCTCAAGCAGGTTTTCGTAGCATTCAATGTATCTAGTTAAACTGCAGAAATGTTTCGTTCTTCAGTTCGAGTGTTGTTTTTAGCAGTTGAGATTTTTTGCAATGCTAGTTTAAGCTGGGATTCTTTGTTGGCACTTTTGGACATTGCAGGAAGAGAAAAAATGAAGTTGGGGACTAGAACACAGTTGTTTTTATGTTGAAGGATCAAATTACTAGTTTGAACCGAATAATCATGCTGAATGATTATTTGGTCCATTAGCATAGATCTTGTCGGACACCAGTGCAACCATCAAAGTATGCCCTTTTTAATTTGTTCATACGTTTTTGTTTGGGATTGGCTCTCTATTATCAACATTATCTTTGTTTGTTCATATGTTTTAGAGAAGTTCAAGAACATAATTATGCTACGACGACGCATTACACCTGCTTGTTTAAAATATCCCATAATTGAGCTAGGAGGAAAATATTTAATTTTTGTTTGTCATTCGTATAGTACAGGATAAGTTTGTTTCCCGGCAACAGGTTCTGATTTCGGTCTACTAACAAGTCAAATTCAGCTTATACACCAAAGTAAAAAATGCATATATCATCAATATATTTATTCTCCCTTAATACTTGATGCTTTTTGTTTACCTAGTCCCTTCCAAGAGTTATGTTTTTTTCTGAATCAAGATTTGAGCAGACCATGCAACTTCTGATCCTAAGGATCCACATGGAAGTTTTCCAGCCCCTTACTGAACAAAAACTCCCTCCATTTGGCATGATTGGTTCTCACTATTTGACCCACCTCGCTATCATTGTCCATTACGGTTCTCGCTGCCTTGCACGTGCAGCTTCCCTGGTAAATAGTACCAGTTGACACTCATTCACCATGGCCTCTGTTAATGATCTGGACCCACAATGAGTCACAAAGCAACCCACAGATGGGTGGTTCAAGATCAATTGCTGCTGAATCCAATCCCCATGTACCACCCCTCTTCTCTTTGTTCTCTCATTGAATCCTTCAGGCAAAGCTGATTCTATTATTTCAGCTTCAATAGGGGCTTTTAAGGCAGCTAGGAAAAGCATTCCTGTGCGTTCAAAACCAATAAAAGTTCCCTAAACTGAGTACTCTTCAAAATGATTTTGCTTCCAAAGGCACAGAAAATCATTGTTTTCAGCTTGAAACTTCCCAGCCAAGTCATTCATTTTTTTTTTCTAAAGTAGAGGTTGGTGGGTCTGGCAAAACTGGCCCTGCCAGAAACACTTGATGTCTCATTTGGCGTTCAAGATAATCACAATTAGGACCTTCTATTTCTCTTCAAGTTTTGAAACTGATGCTGCTAGCAAAAGAGATCAACTGGCGCTCTAAAAATGAAATGCCTTTGCCATAATCCTTTACTGCAGCGATGGCCAATTCTCTTGCTTCATGAGGCTGTAGCCTGAGGGCTGATGGTGGAAAGGTTGGTGGAGAGTTTATCACATCAGTTTCTTTTAATGGATTTTCATGGAGATTTCTTTCGGGGCTTATCAGATATCCCACTCTGACAGGACCTATTGTGCAGTAATGCAAAGCCGTAATGCCTAACTGACATGCCATTGCAGGTAACCAATGTGTGAAATCAAAGAAGACCATATGGGGTCTGAGTTCTTTTAGAGAACCTTCAATAAGTGGCTCAGTGAGGTCCATTGCAGTCATGAGAAGGAAGTGCAGTGAGAAAGGAAGGTCTGCAGTTGTTTCAGAGCCAAGAGGGAGACCGTCGACATGCAGTATGGTGATTGGAATGAAGGAGATGAGATCTGGGTGGAGATTGAAATGCCTCAATTTGATTGAGTATACAGTTTCCAGGCATGAGAAATGAAATTTTGTGATCGCGTTCAGCAAGTTTGTTGGACATGTGAAGGAATGAGGTGAGATGGCCTAAGGCAAACCAGGAATACATTGCAACATGAAAGGTGTGGTGTGGGCACCCATGGTTGATGAAATGGAATCAAGGCTTTGCAAATAATCTGATCTGAAGTCACAAGAATGTGATACTTCTGTTAAGTTATTCTTATGTGGGAAAGAACTCAAAAGGTGTGTGGGTTACATCACATTAGTGATTCTTTGAAAATTGAATTAGAGAAACAATGAGATGATAATCTGGCTTCATGCCCGTTGTCATTCTAAACAAAGCCAACGGTTTGGAAAGTCAAGAAATACATGAGTTCTTCAATCTTCCGGGCGACCTGGCTTCTCTGTCCATTTTGCTAGGAATGGTTTCGTTATAATTATTTTTCCCATTGTTAGAAAATTCGCTTTTCAAGCCCAGTTATAGCAATTTATTAAGATATCAAACTAATAAGAAAAAGGAACAGAGAACAAACCAAAAATAGGTATTAGATTGCAAAAATTAATGTTGTGGTATGGTCTCTATCCGACAAATTTGTATTAGTTTAATTTAAATAATTTATATTGCTGGATAAAAATCCAAAAATCGGCAACACATTACTGAAGAAAAGTACTAATCAAAGATACTACTGAAACTTCAATAACAGAACCAAGGGCATCTAATGGTTAACAATTTAAGAAGTAACTTCCATATATCTATAATTTAATGATTCAACATAATCGCAATTTTCACCAACAGTGCTATATCGGCAATAATGCTATGTTTGAGAAATTTAAGAACACCGACACTTTTAACCACAATCACACACTATCTTATTCGGTAAAATTTATAGAAAATTGAAAATTGATGTAAGTTCCTTCTTATTTGACCAATCTCTCACGATAAATTTTAACTAATAATAGTGTTAAATTTTTTTTTTTACAGAATATATTAATAAAATATAAAAAGATAGAGAATGGAAAGTGGATAATAATAAATAACCAATCTTCTTTTCCTTATACTAAGATAAAAATAAAAAATAAAAAAAGTTTATATACATATATATGTGTGAGAGAGAGAGAAAAAAAAGGTATTCACTTAATAATTCATATTTTACATCAAATTTTAATTCTCAAATTGTTGAATTAAAAAATTTTATTGTATTGAATCAAGTTTTCAAAATTTTAAAATATTTAAAAAACTTTTTAATACTTTATTTCAATAATTTAAATTAATATATAAAATATTTTTATGATTATCTATCAATTATAATTAATGAAAAAGAATATCAAATAATTTTTAAATTTTACAAATTTAATTTATACATTAAAAAATTTAATTAAACAATTGAATTATTAAAATTTGATATTAAACATGAATTATTGATAATCATAAGAACATTTTATACATTAATTTAAATTAAAAATCTAAAGTACTAAATAGTTTTCTAATTTTTTTTACAAATTTGTATTAAGTCTTCAAATTTTTAAAATATTTAAAAACTGTTTGATACTTTATTTCATTAATTCAAATCAACATATAACATGTTTTTATGATTATCTATTAATTGTAATTAATGTAAAGGAGCATCAAATAATTTTTTAATTTTTTAAAATTTGATAAATTTTAATCTATACATTAAATTTTTTTAATTAAATGATTAAATTATTAAAATTTGATGCTAAACATGAATTATTGATAATTATAAAAACATTTTATACGTTAATTTGAATTAAAAAAAAAAAACCAAAGTACTAAATAGTTTTCTAATTTTTTTACAAATTTGCATATTTAATCTATTCATTAAAAAGTTTTAATTTAATATGTAAATTATCTTAAATTTTTATATAAAACAAATTATTAAATAAAGTAAATCTAATTACATTTACTCTTAAAATAAATAGATACCTTTATATATATATAT